CCAGGAGGCTAAGGGGCAGGACTGGGGGGGGTGGGATACAGTCGGTCAGGAGTGAGAGGCAGCAGCAGGACTGTTGGGGCTGTGGCTTAAAAGTGAGGGGCAGAGGCAGGGCACAGGCACTGCCCCCCCCCCATACAGTCGTACATCCCTTCTCCCTCTCCTCTCTCTTCCTCCCTCCCCATAGGTGTCCTCTTTTTTGATACTGGAAACCTGGTAACCCTACATTTTGGCCAGCATATCAGCCATTAGGGTTAGAAAATTAATACTAATGACAAAACCCACACTGTATGAACCAAGGAGATCACTCCTAACATTTCTGTTGTGGTAGCCATTTTGGATTCCAAGATGGCCGCCACAAATTTACCATTTTGCTCATTATTAGATACCCAAAAGGCTTGCAAAATTGCTACAGCAACTCTGTTCTGTTTCAAATTACCTCAACAAGAAAACCTCTGATGGAGATTGTCGACAAGAGACTTGCCCTTGACACCATTAAGCAAACATTACGATGACGCTGATAGCATCATTGAGTCCAGCAAAGTACAGGAGGTACAACTCAGAATTTACAAGATGCATCATATGTCTTGATTTTGATAAGTCAATGATTAGCCAAAGTACACCTGCTGGAATTGTGTGAATAAACAAGGCACTGTTCAATGTACGACAGTTGCTGAATTTGACACGTTATGGCAGTATTCTTGACAGACTATCATGTTGTGTTGATCCTGCACTGCAACATTCCAAAAACTTCAATTGGCACCATTCTTGCTACAGTTCTTTTATGCACAAAGGCCATATTGAGAGACTGCTAGGAAAGTTGTGCAAGGTAGAAGATGAAAGGGAAACCCTACCAACAACAGCAAATGAAGAACACACTAGGACATCAAGCAGATAGTCTACTCCAGCAGTTCACTGGAGAATGTGCATATTCTGCCAGAAATATTCTAATAAGAAGGGACTGAGTCAAGTGTTGTCATTTGGATCAGCCAATACAATACACAAACTAGCAGAGAGGAATGAAGTGTTGTGTTGCTGAATTGGTGTCAAAGATCTAATAGCTCCTGAGGCATGTTACAATCCTGAATGCAGGCAGGGAGAACAACAGAAGCAACGTCTCTTGTTCTCATTTGCACATGGATATTGCGCAAAATTTTTTTCTCTCTCCTGAAGTGAGAGCATGGCATCCAGTGATTGATGAACTGTATACAGTTTGAAAGATATACTTGAAAGATATTGTAATTTAGCAGTAGACGAAGGTGGTGAAAGTCTTCTGACCATACTAAAGCAAATGAAGCAATAACTTCACACTTAGACATTCTGAATGCACATGACAAAGGAAGAGAAATTGCAAACGCCATTATTCAGAAACGTCTTACTGCAGATGCTATTGAGAGCTTCTATGCAAACATACCCAAATTAAAATTGTAAAACTTCAAGGATGTAAAATCAACTATGGGGCAGTGCAGCAAAATGAAGCAGACAGAGAATGTAAAGGAGATCCAGCAAAGACTACTTTGCTGGATTGCAGCAGGTAGAAGGTTCGATGTGCACTCTCTCCTGCAGCACAAACTGTCTGGAGACCCTGCATCACTTTTTAAACCTGACAAATTGCTCAAGGTGGTGGACAAAGCAGCTTTGTCATGGATTGTGACTGGAGATAAAGCAGTAACTGTTCTGCCAGATGCTAATTCTGAGAAATCAGCTGTTATCATTGCCAGCACGGCTCTTGTACAAAATATAGGAAAGCCGAAAACTGCATGAAAATTTGGAGATTTGGCTGATGCCTTTGTGCAACAAGTGTTTGCCAACTATTCCAAGATGTGTGATTGAGTCAATATCGTCTTTGATCAATACATATCACCATTTACAAAGGCAAGCACAAGAATATTAAAGATTCAAGCTACTAGGCCAAACTGCAGAATCATTAGTAGCAGATCTCTTCTGTTACCAGCATCATGGATTAGTTTTATATCCTTACCAGCCAATAAAAAAAAACCTAGGTCATTTTCTAAGTGAGGAGCTTCTTAAGGAATCATGATGATTTTTCTGAAGCGGACAAGTGGTTGTTGTTGGTGGTTTAGCTGATGGAAAAGCACTTGGATACTTATCTTGCTGGGATCATTTGACCCCAGCAGACTTCCTGCCTCTTGGGCAGAGGGCTGGACCTGATGATCCTGTGAGGTCCCTTCAGCCCTAATGTCTATGAAATCTACGAAGTGCAGCAAACACAATCTAACTTTAAACATTCCTTCATCCAGGGTTAAGATGGAGAGGGCTTGCAGCATCTGAATTGTTCTCAGCTTGCTCACATATAACCATTCGAATTTACTGACTGGTGCCCTTTTGAAACTTCCCCTTTTGAAAGGGCTCAACTTATTTTGCAAACCTCAATCCAAGAAGCCTAAATTATACTATTTAAAATATGGAGAAGTTGGGTACTCTACAGAATTCTGGTGGTCCTACTCCCATATCCAGGCACTTAAAAATGCAGGGCCAGGGTCAGGGGGAGGGAATGGTCAGAATTTCTGTGCTTAAGTCTTTTTCTGGATCTGAGCCTAAGCAGTTATATATACAGGAATTAGGACTTGGGCATTTTAATAATTTAGTTACTTTTACAGGTTAGCAACACAAGATTAAAGTTCCAAAACAATAAGATTCCAGACCAGAATACTGAATAACCAAGCACCTGCCAAAACCCACAGCAATATGTAACCTTCTTTTAACAATAAAGCATATACAGAAAAAAAACCCTGAGTTTGGAGAAGTGTTCTTCACTTTGTTTCAAAACAATAACAGCATTGCAAGCAAGAAATGGAAAAGTAATATAATTCTTAGATTTTACATAGCACTTTGTGTCTGCAAACATTGCAAAGACATTAATTAATTCACAACACATCCTCTTGTAGAAGGTAAATAAAGCAAAATAGTTGTCAAAATAATTGTGTGCGTGTGGGAGAGGAGTTTTGGATGCTCTTAAAAATCTATTTTAATTTAAACCAATGTACATGTGCAATGATAAAAATTTGAAATGTGTAGGTGTGAAGCTGCCCAGCGTGGGGGCAGGCAGGGTGGCTAGCTAGGCAAGATGAAGCCAGAGGGAATGAGTGGGAGGGTTGCAGCCAGCAGCAGGTCTGCATTGTCATCAATGTACCCACAACATTACAATGCATTGCTAAGGGAATCAGCAGCAGGAGCACAAGATCAGCAAATAGCCAGGGAGCCAGCAGGCGATGAGCATACAGAGGCTCTATACAAGGCATACTAAGAGGAAGTGGGAGTAAAGCTGGAAGGAGGCTCCTCAGCTACTGTGAGAGAACTCATCCTGTAAGGCCACCTTCAGGGAGATTTTGACCATTTGATCCAGATAAATTATGCAATTGCCCAAAGTGGAGGTTCTTGGTTCAACAGTTTTAGGTCTCTTGTCACCAGGACTGCCTCTCTTCACCAAGGCAGTGTTGTGAATGCCAACTACTGGAGGAGCATCTCTCTTCACTACATCTTACCATGCGAGGAGTCAAATGAAGATACCTCACCCATTCCACAATTTTTTTTTTTTTTTTTTAACAAATATTTTGATCATTTTCAACTATGCAAGACCTTGAGGTGATGATGCTAGAAGTCCAATGTTTACCACATGAGGATAGGGTCAAACTTATGGCAGTTCTTTAATCCACCCAGGAAGATGTACTAAAAAGGATGGATACCCAGGAGAAAGACTAGGGCTTTACAGAATTCTAAAAATGAGTTTAAATGTCTGTGTGGTAGCTAGGCATAAAGACATGAATCTAAGACATAAAGTAGAATCACACAAAGGCTCTAGAAGGGCTGGAAGGACTGTTCAAGTAACTTCCTTCCACTGCAGCATCAGTCTTTGAAATGAGTGACACTAGACCAATCTGATAGCCCCCTTTTTTATTTATTTTTTTTTTACTGTTCCTCTAGTTCAGAGAACTACTTTTCACTAGTTCCACAAATCAACAAGAAAACTTAAAATGAATCTTTCTCTTCTTTATTTATATTAGGAGAAAGCCACAACAATGGTACCAAGTACCCCAAATCCAAGCTTGTAGGATACAGTTTGACTGCAATGTAACAGCCAGAACCAGAGGGATTAATAAGCAATAAATAAGTGCTTCTTGGAGGCATTTTGTATTTTCCCTAAACAGGTAAGATTAGTTAATATAAAGCTGGTAAGTTTGTAAACTGCAAATGTAACTTGTCTGTCATAAGTTTAACCAAAATGATAAAATTAACTGTTCATGGAACTGACTGGGCCCCATAGGCAAAGCTGTTACTGGAAGATTAGGAGACCTAACAGTGTTTTGCTCAGGGGTCAGCCTTGATGATAAAAACTGGATCCAACTGCCTGGCACACCCAACACATTCCAGGAAAAAACATCCCAAAAAAGCATATTCAAATGAAACCTAGAAGGGGTTGGGGCGTAGGTGGAGCAATGTCAATGTCGATTTCAAACCTAAAAAGTGCTGCATCATAATTTGCTTATTGGATAAACCGGAGTCTGGGTAGTCACCTTTCATGATAATTTTAACACCTTTCAATCCCATAGGGTAACAGCTATAGGGTAACATTGTGAGTGGCTCTAATGCCAGCAGATTAACATAAGACTAGGTATAAAAAGTACATGCATCAGGTAACCAGCAGGAAGGAGGGAACAGAATGGTCATTTCTGTTCCACGCCCAGACTCCAGACTCCTGGTGTGAGTGAGGATCGCATCCTGATCAAGGGACCTTCCCTGGTAACCCTCTGATAGCGTCAATCGGGGACGCTTGACTTCACTGGAATCACTTGACGCATACCTGGCATTGAGGGACTATTGATAAGTTGCCAACCCATGGCTGTCTATCTGTTGTTTTGAACAGCCCAGTGACTAATAACCTCGCAGTGCCCAGTTGGCCTGTGACAGAATTGATCTATCTGTTGTTATTATTTACTATTAGCTCTTTAATACTGCATTATCTGCTTATCTGTGGACAGTGCTGTACAGGCCCTGCTGCGGCCACCACGCACCACCAGCTTTGTGCTCTGACCTTAAAATTAATTTCCACCAAAAATAGTCATAAGTATTTGAATTTTTTGCAGCATTTCCAACGGACATTCTCTCTGTAATTATCCCCATGTAACAACAATAGGAAGAGAGGCAGGCTAGATTTCTAACTGAGGCAGATTGGGATCTGATAGATGGAGGGCCTGTCAAAGTAGAGCTAGGAAGTCTCTTGAAAAGTAGTAGGAAATCAGTCCATATTTTAAATAGCCATTATAACAGTAGCCCCTTGCATTCAGCAGATGCTTGCCTCTGCCATATGACCTTTTGTAACTTTGACTTTTGTTATGTGATTGGGGACAGGAAATGAAAGTCAGTCCTCTGACTAGCACTCTGTGTGTAGCACCAATGATCTTGGCTACCCCACGTGGAAGTGCTCATACTTAGCTTCTTATTGAACTTGGATGTTTATCTTGCTGGGATCCTATGACCCCTGCTGACTTCCTGCCCTGGGGCAGGGGGATGGTTTTGAAGATCTTCCGAGGTTCCTTCCAATCCTAACATCTATGAAATCTATGAACAAATTTTGCAAATGTATGCATAGAATACTGATTATAGTTTGGGGAATGGTTATATCCCTAGTGCATTCACTGAAGATACATATAAGTATGTGCCTCAGCCGTTCCAAGTATTCTTGACTGAAATGCTATTTGAATGCAAATTAAAATCTTCTCACCTAAAAGGAGCTACAAAACTTTTTATATACTTCTATTGGTAGCTTTAGAGAGATCCTGATACCACTTAATGTTTTCATTAATACAGCTTGAAGCAGGGTACGCAGTCTTATTCCATCTGTAGCAGGCTTACCTTTTGGAGCTTGGGTTGAGTCCCAGGCTTGAGATCCTGCTGTTTTGATTGGTGGAGCCCATCCACCAATCAGGAGGTAGCAAGAGAAATAAAGGCACGCCCCTTTCCTGAGGGGAGGGGAAGAAGAGCAAACTGTCCAGTCCGGAAGTCTTCAGGGGCAGATCCCTGGAGTGTATAAAAGGAGCTGCTTGCCCAGTATGAGGGAGATGCATCAGGGACAGAGAAGAGAGAAGAGCGGGGCTTACAAGAGCTGAGGAGAGCTACTCAGCAGTAGCTCAGGAAAAGCGGGGAGTGGTGGATGGCTCCAGCGGTTACGCTGTCAGTGCACAGCACAGCTCATGGCATCCAGACCCTGGGAGCTGCATGAGGCGGCTCAGGTCTGCAACCTCTGGTGGGCGGCCAGAGACACGGTGCATAGGCCAGTGCATGGATCAGGATCTTTGGAGCCCCTTGAGTGGCTCAGGTCCACAACCCCCAGCATGAGGCTGGGAGCTCAGTGCAGGAGGCACTGCACAGAGGGTGAGAGACGGTGAGAGCCACTCGAGGTGGCTCGGGACAGCAGCTCAGTGCAGACAATGCTGCCCCGAGGGTCCAGGAGCAGACCAAGCCCTGGTGCTGCACAAGACTGTCCAGGCCTCCAACCCCTAGCACAAGGCAAAGTGTCCATTACATACAGCAGTGCATGTGGCCCTAAGCCAGGCCAGCGGGAGCATAGTTGGGTGGCAGGAAAGCCCAGCAGGGAACAGTGCTTGACCCAGAGCACAGAAGGCAAACTTCTGGGATTGTGGAGTGGTAAGTTACCTGGAAGAAAGGGTCCCCACAGGGGAGGGACCCCCTAGAGTTGCAAGGGGGCACCACGTGGGCTGCTCCTGGATGATAGATGGGGGGAGCTGAGGAGTCTTTGAGGTATCCCTCTCCTTTTCTTTCCCCCCACCTCCTTTCCTGTAGTGGTACCTTGGGAGTGGGGCCCCTGCCCTGGAGGGCACCCAGGTAGTCTAAGGATTACTGGTTACATTTGTAGACTGTGCCTTATAGTTTATGTGAATAAGCTGAAGCAATAGTTTGTATATTAATAGTTATAAGTCTGCCCAATCCATATCCTTTGTTCTGGGTTGTTCAATTGTTCATCTGTATTTTTAAATAATTGTGTGCGTGTGTGTGTATATAATATAATATAATATAATAAGGTAAAGGGTTTATTGTTTTGTAAATTTGTACATATATATATAATTTATGTCCTTACCCTTTCATGGTTCTGTTGTAATAATACAGTTGTATATAGTTAAGTAATTGATTGACTGGGCCTGACTCTATAGGCAGCTGCTGGGCTGTTGTGTTCCTCCACAGCACACTGCCCTGTCAATAATTCCGTCAATTGTAGAGGGGAGTACAACCTGTGTACACCCGGGCTACACATCTTACTTTGGGGATATTCCCAAGATCAAGGCTTG